ATTTACCTGTCACTGTGACCAGCCACAGGACGCCTGCGCCTACAGAGGCACCATGGATGGCTTGCGCTGCACCACCCACACACACCATATCCAGTGTAAACCCGAAGGAATAAGACCGGGAGGCATGCGGATGGGAGCCACGTTTCATCAACGGAGCCGGCTCACACTCCTTCACAGGCAAACACAAACACGCGTATTTGCGGAATCAACCGCACACAAGACGGTGGCTGGACCGTAGTCCGCTCCACACTGAATGCATGGAACCACTCTTCGAGCCTAGCACGACCACAAGGACCGTGCACCCCGTCCCGTCCAGCAACGACTAACTGTCTCCTGGAGCCAGTATGGACGAAGTAGTGGGTAATAGACACGTAGGCACCTTGTCAACATGCACATCAAGCGCAGCCACACCTGGGATGTCAAACAACAGCCAATCATTCGAAATGCCGATATCGAATAAAGTAAACGTATATGACATAAATACTCGCTAAATGAGCATTTAGAAGAAAATGGTTATAAGTGGATCCGTGATAAGTACAAAATATCCGGAAGTTATTTAAAAAATACCATGCGATAAAATTATGCAAGTTTACCACAATTTGCGTAAGCGGCATGTGCAAGTAAGGAGAAGATTATCAAGTACGCAGAACAAAGCTAATAACATGTAACGAATTTTATCCACATTAAAAAGACCTAGTTTAAGTGTAAGTTGGTTTAGCCCAACTGCGGTGAAGAAGCATCATGAATGCAACATCAGCCTCAGCAAGGGGCCTATATATATATATATATATATATATATATATATATATATATATATATATATATATATATATATATATATATATATATATATATATATATATGGAGCCATTCAAAACAATGGAATTGTAGATCAAGAATGGTAGTAAGTACAAGATATGCAAAGAGAACCAATCATAAAAGTAAACAAAAGGCGTCAGTGTAGCTTGTCATTTTCACAAACCCCTGTGTCCTCTTTTCTGTAGCTTTTAGAACTTGATACCTTCGAAATCGAGAAGTCACGTGAACTTGAGTACATTGCTCCTACTGCAACTGGTTTTGCACCAAAGACTCGTGCGTTATATGTCGCGGACACATCTCATCTTCGGGCTCCTAACTGCGAACACTCATTGGGACAGCGATGACTAGACAAGATGTCAATGATTACATGCTTTATACTTTATAACCAAGCTGCTAGCCGGTCTCTTTCACTGCAACCCCAAGCGCGCAAAGGTAAACACCAGGTATTCATAGAACTTGGCCGAACTACCTCAATAGGCACAGTAGAATTAGCTCTTAAAAGCGGAGATTCGCCTTGCCTGAGACACGGCTTATAAAATCAACACTGTGTTGCTCCACACACCGGCTGTAAGCGCATGCATTTTAGTTAAACGGATCGGCCAGGATTCACATCCATACAACAGCGTCGCGCGAACACAGGTATTGTAAACCCTGCCCATTAACGAAAGCGAAATGTCGCAACGGCGCCACGTCGGCAAAGGACGATCAGGCAGTAGCGATGCTGAGATACCTTCAATACTACCATCGACAGAGACGCAGCTCCTTAGGTAGACAGAACTATCAACGACCTCAAGCAGTGCGTTTCGAATGGTAAGTTGAGGGAAGGTTTCTTGCCAATCCAATAACGACACTTTGAACTTAGAGGGGGTAAAGTGCATACCACACTTAGACACTTCAACCATCAATCTGTCAAGGATCAAGGCATACATGAGTCGTCATCAAACAGGGCAATATCATTAGCGTAATCCAACTCGACTGCGTGATTACCTGGAAGGAGTTCGATGCTAAAATTCTGTTGGGCTTCTACAATTCTTAACAGGATATCTTCGATCACAAAATCGATGAGAACCAGAGACACAGGGAATTGTTGTCGCACAACATCGGTGACCGGGAAAAGTGCGGAAGTTTTGTCGCGACCTCTCACTCAACCTGAAGTATCGAGATAATTACCCGAAGAATGATGGTGAACTCCCTTCTTTAGCAGGCAATGCAATAAAACAGGTCGGTCTACTGAGACGAATGCAGCCAGAGCGTCCAGGAAGGCGGTGATGGTGGGTTTGCGGTACAGGTAATGATGTTCGAGGGCCTCACGAAGCGTGAATACTTGATCCACGCATCCTTGGACGGGACGGAAACTAGCTTGCTTCTGCCGGTAGTGCATCTCACACGCTGGAGACGGCCTGCGAAGCACAATAGATGCTAGTAGCCTGAAGGCAAACGACGTCAGGCTGCTCCATCTGTAACTAGTTCAAAAAATATGGGAACCTTTTTTGAAGGTTGGGACAATTACTGACCATCTTCTTGCTAGGTTTTCAGGAACAGCGACGTCAGGTGCCTAAAACTGCTTTGCCACCGTACTTGAACAGTTCAGGAAGTTCATTTGAACTAGCTGCCTTAAAATGCACCAACTGTCTAATCTCAAGATAACCCTCTGCTTCAGTAGGAGGTTCCAGTCACAATACCCATGGTATGCGACTTTGGAAAGGTGGAAGGCTAAGAGAACCTGAACTGAGATTGAAAATGCTCAGGACACCGGTCCATGCACCTCAGCAAGTTAATGATTTATGACTCGTCGGCTCCGCAGACGACCTCACTGATATCAAATCCAGTGGTACGAATGAGCTAAAACAGCTTGCGATTATTTCCAGTGGAAGCGGTGGTCTCCATTTTCAAAGCGCGCTGGGACTACCGAATTCCCTAATCGCCGATAAAGCTTCGTTTGAGTTGTCAACTGACGGATAGACGAAATTCACTGGTCTGAGTTCCCTGGGGGAGTTCGGCAGCAATCGAATAATGCCAAGGAGTAAGTAATGATCCAACTCATAATGTGGTAACGACCTGACCCGCAGATTGATTGGTCCGAAGTTTGCATTGCATGCTGCGAGAAGCTCCAGTGATGTTTGATATCAGTGCGCGGAGCACAAAGTGTATGTGCCAATGACAGTCGATTGTGCAGCCGAGCCAACCGATCTCCCAGCCTGTTCGTATCGAGCCTGTAATAATTCCGTTCCGGAGACAAGCACTGATCAGAATCACGTGAAGTAGAGCAAAATGATCCAGCGTTCTGCATGCTACGCCGCCATCTGCACAAGTGACCAATGATTTGAAAAGCGGGAAGGGTAAATCAAATAATGGATTAACACGATTATTCGTAAATGTGAACTGTTCCGCCTCATTAAGCAGATGTTGACTAGCAGTCGTGCTGCCGCTACAACAAACTATGAGTTGCCGGTCTCCACATTTTGTTACCTTCGATACGAATTTGATGCGATGGATGAACATCCCGTTAATTCCGTGAACACATTAAGCATAATGCATGGATTTGGTTTAATTGCTAAGTTGGTCTGAACCAAAATGCATGCACAGGACACACAGTGTAAGCGGGGGTTGGTGGAGGCATTCCGGCACGACCATGTTAGTTGAAAATTGACAACCATTAGAAACACAATGTAACGAGGAAGGCAGTGACGTAAATGAGTCCGTCAGTTCCTAAAGGGTATCAACAACCAGTGGTCTAAAGAGTACCGTCTTCGTTACGCTGATTACCCCATCCGGAGGGTGGTGTTGGATGGTTATTATAGTGATAACTGCATCTGAAGTTCCTGAACTGATTGCGATGTAGTTGCACTGAAGGAGGATAAACGTGCAATCACCGCAGGTACGAGTACACAAAAGAAATTGATTCCCACTGTCAAAACACATGGTACATTAGACAGTGCATAAAATGGTGGTTTGAGCACCGTTAATCACTTTAGTAACTGACTATGTAATCATCGTGTGGCCTATTGGTAAACGAACCAGTGTGGATGTTAAAAAGTGCGTGTCCAAATCCCAGTGGTTTACAACAAATGGAGCTTAACAGGGCCTGAGGAAATCAACAGCAGCGCACTCATAGCGGTAGAATAACTTTTGGATTGAGGTGTAGGTTGAAGATAAATGTCAGCCTCCACTCCTCTCTCAAACGAAACAGAGCTGTCTTAATCACATAAAAAGCAATGGGTGATCCATAGCCACCTTATTAATCAGTAAGGCAGCTGATCCTTTGGCACGTCAGCAGTAAAAGAGGAAAGCTTCATCCACTGCACTCGGTCCTCACTGGGGAAACTTAGGAAGCCTAATAGGACAACTGCTCATACAGACCAAACTATAACGAACCTATGAGACGCTGCTGGTCCGTTATGAAGCGGCTCCAATTGGTGGTAGCGCCGCATAGGGCCTGGAAACACTGCCAATCCCGGACCGTTACCGTAGTTCAGAGCAAGTGCTTTTAACTGGTGCCACGTATCGACAACTAAATTTCCCAAGGAGGAACGACTCAAAGAGATTCCATGATTTTTACTTGTGGCAATTGTTATAGATCAAAGCACTGCGATTGCTCTCACGCGAGAAACTGTACAGGGCAAGTGACAAAAGCGGGCCGGCCCATTCCTTCCAAAAGTACTAAAGTGGCCACATCGCGGCAATCAGTTGATCGAAATTCAACGGGTAAGCATATTACACTTACGTCGTACAACTAAGAGAGCCAGCAAACAATGGTTGTAAGCGGGTAGTAAGGGCGAAATATTTCGATACGGAAACACCACATGGATCAAACGGATCAAGTAGGTGAAGTAATGTAACTCTCACGTTAGGCCTGATATTCGAGAGATCTTGATCGAGTATGTTAGTCGCAACCTCCCAAAGGTCGCTTGGTTTAGAAAGAGACGATAGATTACGTTGGAGAAAGACTCGGTGATTCGAGGCGATTTGGTCACTAATGCCGTGTCAAATAACTGCAGACATGAAGCCAAACGAGGGTAACATCGACCGAAAGCTGGGCACGGGAATACCCCGGGTGGATAACAAGAAACGGGATCCAAAGGTCAGTTAAGGTTCTACCATAGAGCCTTCTAATGCGAATAACCCATCTTCCGGTTATGTGGATGATGACAATGTTTAGACGCCAATTCAAATGGGAGATTGTACATCGGATTTTATGTATTTTTCAGTGTTTTACCGATACGCACATTCCAATTGGACTGATTATTGGATTGCAAACGGAGCCGCATGTGGGCAGGGTGGCCGTTTTTGCTGTGGAGAATCGTGTGGAGAAGGAACTCGTCTGTAAGTGTGAATATAGTGGTGTGATGCCACGGGATAACTGCATTTTGTTTCACAGACCAACAACTGCTGGAATTGGAAGTGAAGAAGATGCGCGAAATCGGAATACGCAAGGTAAGCAACCCGTCCAATGAAATAACACGACTAAACTACAGGTCGTAATTAAACCATCAGAAGAGACCAATGGAAAGAAACTTCGGCGGTATTTGGGAAGCGCACCATTGAGATATGTAAACTCGAACGGAGAATTTCAGTTCTATATCTGAGGAAGTTAGCCGACTCCGAGATAGTCAAGAGACTGACTACATTTCATTCAGACGACAGATTTAGTCTAAATAAAAATTTACTTAAGTAGCCCGTTGTACTCGTTTTATGTACAATGATCGAAATCCACTCTGATGAGAGCCAAAATACGTAACGTCAGGCTTTAAGTAATCGTAAATGAACTATGTACAAATTTGTTTGAAGCGATTGGTAAGTATATCACCGTTTAGTGTGGAGAAAACCACATGCAGGTCCGTTACGGCAAGTACCCTGTTGGAAAAACTTGCAAGGTTGGCTACCGCGAACAGCCCGACCGGCACCGCCGCGCGTGTACGGAGTGGGACGATGTGGGGGAGGCGGAAGGTTATGGAGTGGGCCTGGACCACACGGGTACTGAATCGGTGGCCCCAGTGGGGGAAAATTAGATGGACCAGGTCGAAAGGACCCTGGATGAAGGGAACCGGGACGGGGCATTGGAGTGACGGAACGGAAGTCAGGAAGGGAGACAGGGGGAGGAAGATGTGGAGGTGGGACATTTTGATAAATAGGACGAGGGCCATAGTTAAGATGGGGCCTAGGGGGAGACTGTTGGAACGGTGGCATTGTTGGATAAAAGCTGTCTGAGTGAGGCAAGTGGAAAATTCCTTTAGCTATCAACTGATCTCGCAGGGGTTCCAACAAATCTCGAATGCGTTCTGCGCTCAGTTCGCGGACACTGATGTCAGGATAATTTTCTTCGAGAACTTCCCACAGTTCATGCTTTAATGTTTGTTTTGAAGAGGAGTTAGGTTTCTGTGACTCATCGTTTGTAAGTGATTGTGAAGTCGCTGTAGGCACTAGCGGATTGTTAGTGTCTGGTAGATGACTTTTTTCAGTACAATTGGCGGACGCGGCTGGTTGATCGACGGAGGGGACGCTAGAGAGATTTGCTGCGAGGGATTTAACTAAATCTGCTATCTCCGGGTTCAGTGACATCTAGAAAACAGAAAAGGATGAAAATTAAAAATACTAACGCTACGAGTGAAGAAAAGAATGGGAGGATGTATGGGTTTAAAGTTTAGTGGTTAGACCAAGAAAAGTATGATAAACTGGGTACGGAACGGTCCTGGATGTAAATCAGGGTCAATAAGGCTACACGAGGACAAATAACCAGATCAAAAGTGCACAGCTTCTATCAAGTACTCAGTAATAGGTAGGCTTGTTATCCATCAATTAAGCTGACTTGCGAGTATTTAATAACAGTGGCTGCACAATGTGATGGCTAACAGATCGGAGCAGCAACCCTATTAAACTCAGCCAGGCTTAAGTTAAACTGAGGAGTAAGCGGTAGTAAACATGCATGCAACAGCTGGCAAACGCAAAGTGCAAAGTATCAAAGCCGGTTGTGGCCTACGTGGTGTTAGTTGGTTGCGCCGATAAACATCCCATGAAATGCGATACATGAGGTATAGTCGACACCAGTTCGCTACGGTGACCAAACTAATAGATCCAGCGACAATGTCATGATATCATAGGTTGGAAGATGCCTCCATCCGTTATTAAGAGCGCATATCAAGTAAGGTGATATTGATTCGCTGCCAGCCAGGATGAAATAGTCAGCGGTTAGTGAGACGATATGGGAAACACAGACTAACAAACTAAACCTACATCATGGTGACATCGGACGAGTCTAACTTGATATAGACGAAGAGGCTATGTAAAAACACCCGCCTTATCCAACATACAAGTGAGACATTCAGTGGACCTTAATGAAATACAGTAAAGCTTCCGTAAATTGACCACATAAGGGACTTGACCAGTGGTCAAAATACAAAGTCTGGATCCATAAGGTTTAGATGGTGAATGTTCAAACAAGGAAGAAGAAACGGTCAACTTGGAAAAGTGGCCAGGATATGAAGGCGGTTTTACTGTACTCCTTTAACCGAAGCAGTTAGTGTGAAGGATATCAAAGCATTTCGCATTGAAGAGCTTTGTGACCTTAGTGGAAAACTAAAACTAAAGAATGACGTGAAGTGCGATAGTGAAAGTATGCTCCTATGGCTGTATAAGACGGATGAAATCTCTAGGCGAAAGACCACTCGAAGTAGGGATAGATCATCTATGCAAGAAAGTAAGCAGGCCACGGTTTTGTCCTGCAGAGCATGCAACATTACATCGAGTAGAATGATGCAACCACAAAAGGAACGAAGAACGGAATATGTGTATATAAAGTTGGATAACAGCGATGGGCACACTGTCTCGGATACCTGTGTATTTCCCATAGAGTCTTTCATGACCAGAAGTTTCTCAGAAGACAACTGAGATCCAAGGGCACCATTCGCGTCAAGAGCGGCTAACTAAATAAAACAAAGTAATGAGGATATACTGGTGCTACTAGTCACAAACTATAAAAATGCATTTGGTTGAAATCACGACAGTATACATAAGGAGAAGTAACTAGGGTGTGGGGTGGAGTTTCGAACTAGCTTTACCCGCCGATAACCAGTGCTGAACATCCATTCATGACCCGGAGAGTAAGGAATCAGGCAGAAGCGGTAACCATCTCAAATGACTCGAAGCATAATGGTTAAATGCTCATCAAGTGGACTGGAGAAGACGTATGCAGTTATAGAAGTACATTGTGTTGCACTAAGGCTTGGGATAGATCAAAGATGTATGGATAATACGATTCGAGGGGGAGAATTGAACTGAACAATTGTAACAAAGAATGGGTATTATGGAACGCGCGAATCGCCTCTATTTACTGATCGAACCAAGGTAGTAACGTCTATCAGACTCGGAGGAAAGGCCAGGTAGTTGCGCAACCAGTCCACGGAGGGTAAAAGTAGCGGACCTCAGGCGTCATACACAAACTAGGAGATAGGAAAGCACTTGGCTGAGGGAGTCATTGCGACACTCGAGACAGGCGGCGAAATCTGTGATTTAGGCATCAACAGTACGTTGCTCCACTGTCATGCAAACACAGGCAGTCATACCTGCGAAAACCGGTGACCTGTGTATCACAGGTAGTTAATCAGTGGTACGCCGGTACGCATTACCGACACTTCGCTGCCGTGCAACCACCAACAGTCGCGCGCAGGCTAGGGATACTTCGAGTCGCCCGATCCCCTACGCAGGCAATAACCCGCGCCCTCGGACTACTATGCAGGCTTGCGATCCTATGGGCTACAGGGCAGTCGAAGTATAGGTCAGACGCATGAATCACTCAGCTACCGGCAGGCCCAGGTAAAGAATAACGTCAAGTTGCGGCAGATGTTGCAGAACAGTAGTCAAGTCTATTTATGATTTCGAATAACATCACACCTTGTGTAAAACGTAAAAATGCCAGGTTGGCTGATATCCAGGTCGGGAAATTATCAGCCCACTGAGACATTTCCCGAAAATCAGTGGTCCTGCGAAGGAGAAATCAACTGATTACCCAACGACATGATAAGCCGGTATGAGGTTGTCAAACCAAAGAGCCCGATGAGAACAATTTTCACACAAACACAGGTAAGAGAGCTGCAGCCAATCCAATAGAATAGACACGAGGGCCCCGCATTCGTATGGGATATGGTAGCAGCTAGCGGTACCGAGGTTACGCCGCTGTGTCAGCATGAGAAAAGGGATGTATTAGGGTTCAAGTGCCACCAGCAGAGGCGTAGTATAGTATCGCCGAATATTCGATGCAATAGAATGGGACAAATATCCCGAGAACCTGTGGGTTGAGTATTTTGGTGTTACTCTATATGACCAACAACACATTTGCGCCATGTGTCAACTCTGTACAAACGTTCTTCCCAGATATCCCCTTAGTTGTCCCATAGTGGTCACTTAAGCACAGTTGCTTCAGATCCCAAACGAGTATCCATTTCAACGAAAACTAATGTGCACTTTACTCTGAGCCAATGGTGTGACCTTCACGTGCCTATTCTACCCAATCAGGGCGAAAATTTTACGACCAAACTCGGGCGGCAATAATAGTTGCTACGCCACTGGCCACTAGGTGCTAAAAATAACCCGAAGCGCAAACGAAACACTGGAGAAGATACAGAAAAACATCAGCAGCAAGCCGATTGCGGCCGCACCGATGACATGCGACCATCATCAGTCATGTATTGGGCTGAGGATAGTGCGATGTCGCCCACACGTATGAAGCTTCGAACCAGGGACATTGGCGTTTCAGGGCGAACGCCTTACACTTCCGGTCACCAGCCGATACGACGCAACGGGAACGCTTTCACAAATGGTCCCTATCGTGATCTCGCAGTTAACCGACCGGAATGGGAAGTTTTGCTATGACAGCAAAGAAAAACGAGCCTTTACCAATATCCATCCAAGTGACCACTCCAGGGAACAAAGATAGAGAGACAGAAGGATAACATCCGCTTACGTATCTGTTCGCCTGGCACCCAAGAGAACAAACGACAGTTAGAGAACTTTTTCAACGATGAACAAGGAGTTGGGGCCAACATGTGAGTTAGTGAGGTAGATGAGCAATGAAGCAACCACATGTCGATAGTATACTCGCGTGCCGAGGTGAACACGTGTATCATGCCCTATCAGTTGGAGCTACGTTCCATCCTGGTTGCTCTGTACATATTTGCTCAGGGTGCAGCGACCTACTAGCACGAGGACTAACAACTAGGGCAATGGGTGAGTAATGTGAAGAATGGAGAACGATGGGAGTATGGATGACCGATCGCGCAATAAGAGAATGGTGAAGAAACACGGCTGACTTAGCGGGCCTTGTGGAGAGTGACGATATCCACCACAGGATTAAGCTAACGCACAAATCCCAGCCCAGTTGCAACAAAAAAGATAATTTTAGATACTACGGGTGGCAAATGATTTACAGATCGCTGAAGTAGGTATCGAAAGAGACATAGGTCAATGTTAGAAAATCGACGGCTCACATATTAACACAAAAGCAGGAAATTCGAAGCTCCTGGCATATGAAACTGGAAAAGTGAGTCCGAGCCGTCTTCGATGAAAACAGTGAGTCATGTGAACTCCCCCAAGCTACAACGGTGGTGGTGGGGGGCAACCTACGGATAATTTCGGAACCAGAATCGCATCGAAGTGAAGTACAATCGAGGACTACAGTATGCTCGTCAAAGGATCCTAGCTGGAGTGTACTGGCAGAAAGTGGGCATCTAATTAAAAGCTGATTAGGCAGTCGGCGGCACGATGAAACACTTCATTACTGCACCGGGCCTAACAAGGACAGTTGGTTGGCAATGACAGGGATACTTGAGGCAGGGTATGCGGATGAAGGCGTTTAATGGTTCTTTGTGCTGGTTTTCCTTGGCTGAAGAAGTTTCGTTGTCACATTAAGTAGAATGGTCGGTGCAACTTGTGGTTAAGTTGCAAGCCAAAGCGCCCAGATCGAAGAGACCGTACGCAGTACCGACGCTTCACAACCACCACCAGTCGCACGTGGAATAAAGATACCGCGAGGGTCGCCCGGTGAAATACCCAGGCTCAAACCCGCGCCAGCGGGTCACGATGCTACGGGCCGGCCGAAGAAACCGGCATTCCAAGACTATTGGTGGCTAAGTAAAGCTGACAGAATCGACCAATGAAATTACTCAGGCAGCCGCAATAATGGCCTTAGATGAGAACTTCATCCGAGAAATACAAACACGCTGTTATCGGATGAATCGAGTGATGATCTGGGCACCACTTAATAACAGGATGTTTTGGCATGGCAAGTTGTCGACCTTGCTTCCATAGAATAGCAGCAGATGATCAGATGTCAGGAAGCTGGGACGGAATTAGAAGCAAAAACTGGAACCGCAGCATATCGCAACTAGTAGCCCGTCATCGTTGCCCACCACCCTCACCCATGACGCAGTGTCTTCAGTTGTTGTTTAGTAAGAGTAAGGTCGTGGGTTCGGACCAGGCATAAAATGGCCGACTAGCGCGTTTTTGTGATGGCTGGCTGTGACGAACCTTCTCAGAAATCAGGAAGGGTTGGAAGGTCAATGGTTTATTAGGTTAGTTGCAAGGATACAACCGGCGAACTGCGGGGAAACAGCCGCACAAGTGGAGCAAGTACACGATGGCGTATTCGAGTCGCACAGACGAGCAGTTAAAGAGTAAAATCCCCGAGTAGGAGCATGACGGGTGATTGTCGTCGTGATTTTGGCAGACTTTATACTATCAATTAAAACAACGGGCCGCTACTAGATCCAAGAAACTGCTACAGCTAATTTGTTGCAGAGACAACATCCGGAAAGCGCTAGATATCCGTATCGTTTTACTGGGACCCGGCAAAGGCACGTATTCCTGTGTATCGGAGATAATGTCAGCTCGATTCGTGGCCAGTAGCTCATGTAAGCTGTTGGTCGTAATCGCTTAGAACATGAGATGACACTAAGCGGCATGAGGGAAAGCACCTACGCAGAACTGCAGTAACCATAACGCAGCCTACGTGTTGGAAAAGACCCGTGACGATAATGAATAGGCTCCGATTCATCCTTAATCAATATCGTACAATGATGGGTAAGATAGAAGCAAGTTGGAAAACCATCGTTCGGTTTATGGCCCGTGAACACAAGACGTGACGAAGGTGACAGCAAAATGCGGAAAGCCACCATACGCCTAGTGGAACCAATAGAATAGGTACTTTACGGAACCGCTCTTGCAAGTGTAGTTTTCAACTAAAAGACCGATCGCAATGAAATGAATCCGACAGTGGCAATTTGCAATTGACAAGTGGACGTTGATGAACAAAGCTGTATCCCGATTGCTGGAGTAACTTAACGTCTTCCGAGTGGCACCCGCGAGGACAGATCATTAGCGTAGCAAATTAGATTTGGACGGAAACCGACTCGAACGACGGAAAAGCAATAAAATGCGGCGAATGCACCAGATATATGTAATGCACATTTCACCACAGTTATCGCTGAATTCCAAAGTGTCAATGTCGGATACAGAGAAGAAAATGGTACAGAAGAAGATTTAACACTAACATCTTCAAGGGGAATATCCAGGGGAGCAGAGGCCTCAACGACCTCGGGATCTGGCTCCTCGGGGGTCGATGGGATGCTCTCTCGAGTGAAATATATAGCCTGAAGCACGTAACGCTCGCGTTCAGTTTGCACCTGACGCTCGGATGACTTGTAGCCAGGCTCGACCAGGAACATACGTTCCAGTGGGAGAGGAGTATGCCACTGCGAATGGGTAAAAAAATATATGACTCGTTAGCAGGATGAGAGTGGAAAGACACATATATAAAATTCAAAAAGTGTACGAACAGAATGAGGAATCTGTCCTGTAAACACACAGCAACAGTGGGTACCCAAAATTACACCAGCAAACTAGCAACCACAGTGTAAAATGCCGCTCGCACGACTCAGTGGACCAGTGAGTAGTTAGGTCCTAGCTGCCAAGTTTCCATTCTATATGAAGTAATCTTGGCCTGAAAGTCCAGGAATGGATGAAACCGGTCGTGGAGCAATACCGAAAACAATAAAAAAGGGTGGCTCAAATCGAAACCCGACGCACTACCTGCAGCTTCCATTATTAATGATTGCACATCACAGAACCGATGAAGATGAATGGAAGGTGAATTACTTCTATGGTAGAGATTCAAAAGTGACAGACCGCAACGAACAGAAGACTGCAGCCGTTAGAGTTCGAGTAGCGATGAGGACGATCCTAACCCTTTTTAGTAACAGCGGGATTAAACGAAGGGGTTATGCAGAGTAAGAGACGCGTCATATGATTGAACACAAGGGCTAGGCATAGGTTACTGTACCTGACGTTTCACGGGAAAATAAGAAAGGTGGAGCGTGAGCGACAACAGCCAGCTGACGGGAACGCGTCCACCTGGGTGCATAACGCCACTATGTTGAATAACTCGCACGGGAGATTTCAAGTTAGTAGAAGATTCAACATCAAAGGAGATTTTCGACAGTGGCTGAATCAAAGCTATAAAAGGTGCGACAACAACCGGTCGCATTCAGTCAGGAAGCGAAGGTATATTTGTTGCATCACTCGCGAAATACCTCGACTTACTCTGATGATATGAAGACGAGGCGAAACCGGAGCACATTTGACTTAACAGAGCAGTTGTCTACATTAGTGTTAGTGCAAACTTGTGGAAGTTGACAATTAGTACGTCTCGGGCTTAAGTTAAGTAGATCTATATTTCACCTCAGGTTAGGTTACAATGAAGTTGCGCATTTGACCCGAACAGCTCTCATCTAGGTTTGATCGGATTAGACCTACTGGACTCGTTACTCCAACGCCTTTACTTACTTTGGAGTCGCTTAGTACTCCTGATGAGGTTTCGTCTGGACTCACACGCATTCACCACCACTGTGATCTTAGCTCAGGCCAAAATTGCAATAAAGATTGCACAGGGAGTGTAAGCACACGACCATCTGGAACAAGTACGGCCAACATGACGGACAATAACATTCGCTTCAGATAACTCGGTTACTCACAGAAAACCCAGCTTCTCAAGATGAGCACATTAATATCGACATGCTAGGTAAAGCATTCCATGGTTGTAACCGCTTTTATGCAGAGGTTATAAGGGGCAATCTGGACTATTACATCTATGGGTTTGGCTATCAGCCGCGAAGTTTTGTTCGAGAGATTGCGATCTGAGGCTTTGATAACAGCAGAAATGAGCTGGGCTTTACAATCAAGTTTCCCTTGCTTGAAAACTGTGAGGAACGATTCAGGAATCAATTTTGCACACGTGCCCTGAAAAAGGAAGCCTCAGAATTTGAAGCTTGCTTGCGTATAAAACTGCGAGCTGCTAACCAGAGGGTGTTTGGATGGTAGTTGTTTACATTTTTATACACGCAATCCCTCGCAAATCGGTACTCGCTACAGGTCCAACACGCAATCGAGGGCATCTGATTCGGCACATCTTGGTCCAAATTCTGGTCACGAAAAGCTGACAGACGTGGTGAACTTTCGGAATAACAATTTTAAACCACTTCGATCTAATGTTCCAAGTTGAGCAGCTTACTGAATTTAGCTGCAGCCCATTTCAATTCTACTCGAGTGTTCAGCATCTGTGACAGTAACTCAGTCAACTGCCGATGCGATATTTTTAGACTACCACTGTCGTTGCTGAAAAATGGAATGAAGTAGTCATTATCATATCCTGTCACCTCCACCAACTACGTTGCCGCCCAGAAAATGCTCCCGTTTACACGGAACCGTAGACCTGAGCTAACAGCAGCAGCCCTGATTGGGATAAAAAACCTGGTTATGCTTCGGGCTATAATTAACTAGATCTGTATTGCATCCCAAATCGAGTACCAGCCAAGTGCAATAAATTTATGCAGCTGGCTTCAAGTGATTAGTTTTTTGAGACACTCGTGTGAGCGGATTACAACGAGCCATCTCAAAGTGGATCGAGATACGCAATAAGTGAATCATTGTTAAATCGATCACTGGGGCAGTAGCCGATGAAGCAGATGGATATTGGGTGTTTTCCGCCCTCGTCTACCTTCACTCGGATCAGGCTGAGTTGATGTGTAACTCCAGCAGTGTTAACAGCGAGGGAAATAATTCCCCAGTACGTGCTACTAATGGGCCAAACAAAGGAGTTAAGTGAATCGAGACAACCGAGCCCAGCAACAATAAAGACAAGCAGTGATTAGCAACACCCTTGTTCATGCGATTGTGAACACCTCTGCTTGAATGTATACAGAACACTGGTCATGAGTAGAATGAATAACTAGAATCGATTTGGTACGGTATACATCCGCGCGATTTCATCGAAAAGGACTCCGACAGCGACCAAACCAGTGACTAGACGACCAGTTGAAAACTGAAGTGGCAGCTTTACGACAGAAAGCAAGTGGTTACTGCCGAAATAAAAACACAGAGTAGAATGTATCACCCACAACTAAAAAAGCACAATTAGTGTGCAATCGCCAACGTAGGAAAGGTGTTAGAAGACCTTCGTTGGCAGTTGAGCAGATAAAGACCGAAAGCAGCGAATGTTTGAAAGAACAAGCTTCAGTGGGGATTACAACTCTTATTACCTAGCTCAATGATTACACCGTTATTTTGCTGGGGACGTGCTGACTTGAATGACCTAGTCCTAATTTGACCAATGGATGAAGTCGAACAATTTCCGGAGACCGGGTGGGGAACGGCTCAAAGGGAAACAAATAGCGCAAGCGATGTTTAGGACGGAAGATCCACTCGATTGCGAGATAGTCACCCTTAGCACATAGCGCCTACGTGAGTCATCAAACTCAATCTGATCCCAGTGAGCGAGTCTGCGAAACAGCTTACAAACACGTGGTTTCCGCGATGGAAATGAAAGTGCAGATCACACAACCAAAAAACGAACTCGAATGACCACAAGATTTTGGATCCGACTAGTAGGGATGAGTTGACAACTCGCAGAAGCGAACACCTATTGAATCCATTAGGGGTTAAAGCCTAGTTGGCAATGTTAATCGATGAGAGAAGAAAGACAAACAGGCGGCAGTATTCTTGAGTCAACTATGTCAGGAAAATAAGCCCTGATCGCGAGCCTGCATCTACAAGACAACATGAGATGAGCACTTGTGTAGGTGTTTTTGATACTGATTAAAGCTGAAATGGGGCGGAAACCTGCTGCTGACAATGTGGTGGATTTTCCACTTGCTCCAGATGGATCACAGATATAGGTAATGCAACAACACTCCAGAGCAGCGCACCTACTTACAGGGTTATCTCGAGACAAGGCCTACGAAAACACCCAAGCAGACTACAGTGATGCGATTAAGTCGGCCGAGTAAGCACTTCTAAAGACAGACAAACTCGCAGACAGCTACCTCGCGAAATAGCGACAAGATCACAGAGAATGAGAGCAATCGTCAAAGCTGTATCGGCAGGATGCTACCTTGTTCCTGTATTGCACTGGAGCACTAAGTGCAGTCATTTTCTTTGAAGTCGAGTGCTTACGATATACTGGAAAACATAAACACCAGTTAGGTGCGGAATGCTACTTTGGGCGAAAAATATCAGCAACGCCGGAAGGAGTAAGTACACGCGATACTATCCAAATTATAAGATGAGACTTGTGTACATGGCATTTCTATCTGTTGTACGACGCATTATTGGAAGAGTGACTATGCATTCATTTCACATGACATCATACAATATGTGCTTCGCATCAGGATTTCATCTCAACTTATTGGAAAACACTTGTCCGTGAATCGTAAAACTTCTCGAGTGCGACACCTGCATTTTTAGCTTGTCATAGTTCTTCAAAACTGTAAATAATACTGCCCAAGTTGGTATACTCTAATTTGGATTCCATCACATGGCTGCGATACGTCACAAACAAGAACTGAATGCATCGCATCATGGCAGAATTCCCTTACAGTAAAGGAGGACGTTTGAAAGCGATAACCGGGCGAATTAACTACAGACGGTACGTGTGCAACTCGCGGTGTGCGTTGATAGTGTGACCGATGCATAAACGACCGATTACAAAATGGACGGGGCTGATAAAAGGAGTAACAGGTAAACAGAGGGAGGAGTGAAAATATATATTTGTATCAGTCTATAAACAGACAGCGAACCATCGAAAAACCATGAGGAACAAAATATAAGTACAAATCTCAGGAACAAATATTATGCTCTCTGCTTTCTGTCAGTTTTTACACGCCATTTTGAATAGTAAAGCTCTAATTATAATGTTCAAAATACTTTAATACAGTCCTTCCACTGATTACGGTTTCGCGCCATATCGCCGTATGTCGAACCATTGACAGTCCACATCATTGGGCCCACAAGCAAGAAGAGGTACAAAGCCAGCGACGGTGAGGTTAGCGATTTCGTGCACTGCCAATAAGCGGAAGGCCGACGTCAACACCTTTTCCAATTCAATCCCGTGCGAACAAATCACGCGCGGCATGATAAGCGCTTGCATGACATACGTAGAACGTGGCCAAGCTAGTTCAACTGACACATTGCGACAAAGCGGCCAAACGGAGGGATGTTTCCCAAGACGCGACATCAGATTTCATCGTTGCGAATCCGGTGATGCCACCACACCCGGGCTTTTTACCGTAAACATGTGTTGTCGAAGGCCAAAAGCTTACGCAAGTCACCCACACGAACCGGCCAGGAGTCATTTCCATACACTAGGACTGCACGGACGCAAGCATTGTAGACCATCCCGTCTAAGGAGAGGGATATGTCCAGACGACGGTACAAATGACCGGTTGCTAAATGCCGACGGTACTTTGGTGATGAGAAAAGATACATCTTTATAGTGCCATCAGTAGAAATACAGCTTCGGAGTTTTCCACAAGTTCTAGCTGTGTTTCTTCTGTGGTAATTGAGGGGGCAAACGACATTTAGTCCCAGGGCAGCACTTTACACTTCAAGGGGAAAAACTCATATCATACTTAGACGCTTCAATCGCCAGATGGTTCAATTGTGCTGTACACTCTGTGAATCGTCACCGAACAAGCGATGTCATCAGCATGAGCTAAGTCGGTAACGCAATTGGGAGCCATCAAGAGATCTAAATAGGACGTACTCAATTGCACAGTTTAAGAGGAATAGAGACAAAGGGCACCCTTGTCGACACTAGCAGAGATAGCGAAGGGTGAGGAAAGTTTGCCATGAATCCTCACTACCTGAGCTGGGAATTAAAGCACCCAAATGATAGAACTGTACTTTTCGGGGGCTCCATTCCTTAGCAAACAGTGCCATAAAGCAGGCGGATCAACCGAGTAAAATGCAGCTCTAATGTCCAGTGGTAAAGATGGCGGTGTTCAAGGGTTCGGCGTAGTGGGAAGAGCTGGTCCGCGCATGCTCGAAAGAAGCGGTCAACTTGTTCTTCGCGGTAAAACAACCCGTGGATCGGGGATAGTCTGCAGAGTAGAATGGATGTTTGCAGTTTAGAAGCAACAGGCAAAGACTGAAACCCGTGTTTAGCAGAGATTGATTTGAGTCGAGGCAGGTTGACCAGAATTACCTGCAGTCCGCATACTACCTCGCCAACAGAATCTGGTTGCGACGGAGTCGATCTGGGACCAGAACTGTGTTGTCGACAGAGCGTTAGGTTGCGGAAGGTCCGTTGTTATGCCTGGAATTAGTGCTGGAGAGAAACATGTGGTTGTCGTCGCACAATGTGAGAAGCCGGTCTCCATTATTTGCGCGTCTCTCAAGTGTGTGCTGACCTCAAAGGCGGCGTTCATATGAAAACAGGCGACCGGCCCGTGCATATAACATCTGACTTGTTCTTGGTCAGTTGGGGCGTAAACAGAAAAGACAAACAAAGTGCGTGTTTCCTCGCGATGTCTGTCGGTACGACATGATCCCTGAAGCCGAACTGCGCACACCCGACTGTTGACTAGTAACCAGTCTAGCAACGAAGCTTCGGTTTTATTTAGTGCTACCCAAACACCAGCCAGATCTGCTACAGCTGCTTTTGCGTCAGTGGATAGACGTAGCTGGTATTTGGTTTCGTGATCAGAAGAGGAAGTTAGCCTGAGTACACTACTAAGATCCTGCAACTGGGTTTCGAACACGCAGCAGGGTACGCGCCATGCCCGCCTGTTGACCAATCTGTGTGAGCGTTCATACGCCGAAGCAGGCCAATCGGAACATCGATCAAGGTTGAGGTATGGCTGTCGATTGAACTTTCCGGGTGTCGGCAAAAACCGAGATCACAGGCAGAATCAACGGATGTGGGATCGACAACAAAATGTAGTGTTGGCGTGTGATGAAAGTTGGCGAACGACAAGAGCGAAAGCGTGAAAGGTAATTAAATCAATGGAGTGAAAACCCTTCCGAGCAACAGCTTATTCCCATTCAGATAGTGAATTTCGCACGCACTGCAAAGTGCAGATTGTTTTTGATGCTTAGTGGCTCATAGCGTGATCCGAAGTGGTGAGGGTTAAAAAAAAGCCGCAGACGAGTATCAGCAGTAAAGCAATAACAGAATTCCGCCACTTGAAGGATGTTTTGTCGCTAGCAGTGTTCCCCAAAGCAGACATACATAAGGTCTGTAACCCAAAAGCACCCAGAAAGTTCAGGCTGTGTTCATTGGAGATGAGCTCAATGGTGAAAAAACGACGTCATGCAGTAGCCCAAATGGCACATTGCACCAGTTAATCCAACCGCACCGTGATGAAACCCTCCCCCATTACCATCCTACTCGAAGACAATACCGGTGGTTTTCATAAGGATGTATTTTAAAGCACAAACAAACTAATGCTGTGGTGTTTGTACAAAGCCGTTTGATAGATACCAGAAGGACACGTACACGACGACATAGAGAAGGAATCGGTACACGTCCAAAACAAGCATTCTGAACAGCATAGTAAAAGCAAGCAGTAAAATAAACGGCACATTTGAAGACGTGACACCGGCGGCGACGCAGTTGACGGCGGGGGCCAGACACCGGGAAGTAGGATAGGACTGATAACTGCGTTGAAAGCACAGTTGGGATATAGTGAAAAATGACATTAGGCACGAGCAAGATTCTCACTAGAAAACCCGCAATAGTGATGCTATAAAAATGATTATTCCTAACGTGCAAAAGGACTCGCTCGGGCCCTGTACCCGAAACTCCTTCTGACTCACTTTTTGAGAAGTAATTATAGCATCATCGCTGTTCCGCCGGAAAACTTGGCGCTCCATTGACAACTCTTTTCGTCTAATTTCTTCCAATGAAACCCGGTTCACGTTAACTGTACAAAAAGAGGAAATGTTTTAATGTAGAAAACCACTGCTAAAGCGAAAAATTCGTCTGTGAGCAGCCACGGGGAAGAGGGCCGCAACTGACCTCTTTCGGATTCGTCTAACTCAAAATAAAAAAACGATTGTAATTTGTCCTCATCGGCCCAAGAAACCCTCTTTTTGGGCTTGATTTCCAACGAAAAGGAATTAGACAAGGATATCAAAGAAGACTTTTTGGAACCCGTCCCGACTGGGGAGAGTGAGGAGGAGGAAGCTTCAGATTCGCTGTTTTGATCTGTATGTTCGGTTGGTACTGGAGAAGCGCTTTCTTTCGTCTGAGGAACGAAACGGATAAGAGAGATATGCGATTTACCTGTAATTCAGCTGTTGTAGAAGTTCCACTCTTTGGTGTTAAAAATTTCCGCTTTTTACGAACCAATGAGCAAGTGGTAGTTGTTAGTGCGTTAATAAAATCTGGGCTTTCATGAATTTCAGGGGCTGAAACAGGTAACAATGTATCTCAATTATACTTTTGCGTGTTTCCGTTGGTGTAACAGTGATCTTTTGGTGAATAGACTCGATAGACGATTCTGGACTTGACTTGGTTTCGCAATCCACTTTACTGTAAAAAGAAATATGTTGATAAATCTGTTTACCCTTTCTTGGCAAGTACTTCCGATCGGGATTTCGGTTGCGTTTGGGCCTCTTCTTCGACACCCGCAGTTCGCATAACCGTGGGAGGCACCTTAACAGTTCGGGGTCGCTTTCTACCGTGTTTTGAATCAGCCGATTGCAAAGACTCTTCAGGTTTGGGTTCCTTCTCACATTTAATTTTATTATCATTTACTGAAAACATTAAAGCGTAAGCAGCGACTTACTACCAATTTGCTTAGAATCAGTACTGATAACACCCTTCCATTTTTTCACTATTTCCATGGCCCGAGATTTCACAGCTGGAGGAATAATAATGGTCGAGGAGTAGTATTACCTTCATGTTCGCAACGCTTTGTGAGTGAATTGATCAACTTTGGGCAAACGTTCTGAGTTAAATGCTCCAGCCTGACGGGCAACGAAAGGTAGACGTTCAGTAGCTCAAGCAAGAAAGGATAATTATCTTCTTTCAGCGCTTCTTGCAGCCACTTTAATAAGATGTCCCAGGCACCCTCTCCACATAGTCTAAGCTGGATTTCTGGCATCGAAGCTGAGATAATGCAAAGAGCGATGCATTTAGGAACCAGCTTCCCGTTCGTGGATTTCATTAAATCAATCAAATGGGGTACGGAATCCAGCATGATGCCACCATTGTCATTCAAATGGGTACTATACTCATTGAGGAGACGGTCCGGTTCGGTGATTGCCTAAAGGGAATAAGGGAGAAACAAACGTGAAAGACAAACTAAGCGCATCAGCAAATGTACTGCGTAGATTAGGTTGACAATCGAGAACGAGCGCCTAGATGTGCGAAGGATAGCCAGGTGACTGGAGGCTACTAATAATGACCGATCGGAAAGTGGCCAGCGATGGGTCACAAAATACGGTAGGTGAACGTAATGCACGATTATAAACATAACAGCGGCAACCAAAGGTACTAGCAAGGAGACCTTGATTAGGAAAACAGGTATATAAAAATACAAACATTCAGATCGAAAGGAAAACGAGTAAAGTAATGAGTGTAGGGGCATTCATTGTGGGTTGAATGAAGTTATGTAGACCAGTGAATTCGATTATACAAACATAACGCTTCTAAGTAAAAATAAAGATGAATTCCATAGCTCATAGCAAACAAAGTAAATAGCAGCTTGGTGAATTGGGAAGGACATTCACATCACATTCAGGTATTAGCAAACTAAGTATGGTGACTCTGAAACCATTAAGGTTAAAATCACACAACGAAGTGGTTCTGAAGAATGTGATTGGTGCGCTTAAGGTACCGGTTGTTTGAATAGATTGCGACAAAAAATCTTAAGGTGCATCGTGATTTACTTTAAAGTGAATCTCAATCAACCAGATCACAGTAACCTTACCTAAAACCAATAAATATTTGGTATTCCCTGGATATATCATCACACTGAATGACCGGTGCTGAGCACGTCCGCACTCTTAGTAAACGTAGTATACTTACGTATAAAAGGCGATGACATTGCTGATTGATGCCCACAACTCCAGTAATCAAATGGATTAAGATTTAATGTAAAGTAACTATCCAGATTGGAGCTTCAACAAAGCAACACTGTGCAACTGGTTCTAGCTGGAAATCTACTTCATACAACAGAAATGCAAGTATGTAAGTGTTGCTTTGTGAGCACAAACAAGCACATTGCTCTCTAGCAACACAATGAAGTACTAAAGGATTAGTTGCTTAAAACTCAGAACCACATAGTTTGCGCAGAAAATTGTGATTGTTTTTTAAAACAACCTTTACAACGAGAGATAAGTACCTAAAGGTGGGCGGAAGAACATCCTTGCTGACCACCGGCTTTTGCGCAGGCTGTAACCGAACAAAAAGGCGAATGACCCATTTAGCTGTCAACGGTCTTCGTATTCAGCAAGATGCGAAAATCGTCGCGCTGCCTTGTGGGTTAGTCCTTTGAGACCAAAGGAGTGGGGTCCCTCAGTTAATCCTATTCCTCAGTCTAGGCAATCGGGAAGCTCACTGTCCACGCAGAACATGGACCTGAGTAACCTTTTCCCTGACATCCTCTTTTCCTCCATTTGGTTCTCGTTACCTATGGGTTGTGGCGATCTGCCAACTGCTTATTGGTCAAATGCTATATATGGTTGGCGGTATGCAGTTCAGGGTTTGACTGTCACCGGGGCCTCTACGTGAACAGCCAAAGGACACACATGTCTATAGAGGGACAATGGCTGGCTTGCGATGCACTACACAACCCATATGCAGTGTAAACCCGAAGGAATAAGACCAGGAGGCATGAAAGAGAGAACCACGTTTCATCAACGGAGCCGGCCCAAACTCCCCCATAGGCAAATAAGCACGGTGTATTTGAGGAACCGAGCACACACAAAGGGATGGCTGCACCTTAGTCCGCACCACTTCAAACCTAGCACGGTCATGAAGACGGTGCACTCCATCCATCCAGAAACGATTCAGTCTCCAGGAGCCAGTAATGGAAGTGGAGCGTTAGACAAGTACGCACCTTGCCAAAATTTACATCAAGAGCAGCCTCACGGACATCAAAAATTGAATCTAAGTGAAAGCAAATATGCAGGGTTGACACAGAATATGCAGCATAGTAACAGAAGAAAAATCAAATAAATTGAAGTGATTTTCATCCGGATTAAGAAAACCTACTGTATCTAAGTTGGTTTAGTCCAACTTAGACGAAGAAGCATCATGACCGCAACATCAAGATCAGCAGAAGGCATATATATATATATATATATATATATATATATATATATGGCGGGAGAGCACATGGTGCGCTGAGGTTGGTAGTGGCTAGATCCTGACAGATGACCTACCCACTGCTGTTACTGTTGCGCCATTTGCTCATGTCCTGGACGCTTCCTCGTGGCGACCGCTGGGTGGGAGTTGGGTTTTACCCTTCTCACTGCTAAGATCCAGGACAACAATGCGCATGAGTCAGTGAACTGACCATGTGCTAGACCCGCTGCCTTTCCAGTGTTCATTTAATCGAAGGCTTTGGCTCACGACCCGAGTCGTTCTCCTGTCAGGATTGGGCGCCCTGGCAGTATCTTAGTCCATCCTCTTCGGAGGTTAGGAAGTGATCGATGGCCCTCTTCCCGCAAAACCTAGCCTTGAGAGACAACAGGTCTACGGTTTATAAGCTCACAGCTCGACTGACATAGAGCACGAGCGCCACACATTGTCTATGACAGTGGGAGGGCACCTCCGGGTGTTCAATGGTTTGCTACTGCCCGCGTCAAGCCAGCCAGCCCCTGGTCAAATTGGTGCGAGCCCGCCAAAACCCAACTGCGTCTGGCCGTGGTCGAAGGTATATCCTACTACGGAGTCCCTTAAGCAAACCTCCAAATCACCCACTGCCTTGTGGGTCAGGCCATTGAGCCAAGACTCCGGGTGGATTTCCTCAAGCAAACCTCCGAAGCACAACGACCACCTCGCGTGCGATTGCCCACCAATGCAATCGTATGCCTGCGCACAAAGCACTCAGCATCGGGTGCTGGAACGTGCGCGCACTACTGAACCGGAACTTCAGCGAGCGCCCGGAGCGACGCACTGCACCGGTCGCGATGGAACTGGCGCGCTACAACAACGATATTGCGGCGCTCAGTGAAACCCGGCTCGCTAAGCAAGGTAAGTTGCATGAAGCAGGTGCTGGCTACACATTCTACTGGGTGGGCAACGCCGCCTCAGCACCACGTGCACATGGGGTCGGATTTGCAATATCCGATGGCCTCCATGGCCAGCTCGTGGCTGAACCAACAGGCATCAGCGCGCGACCGATGATGTTCGCCTACGACTCGGAAGAGGTAAGTTTGCTACTTTTATAAGTACGTACGGCCCAACCATGTGTTATCCTGATGACACGCGTGATCAATTCTACACTCAGCTATGCTCCGCGATACGGTCTGTGCCGAGGAGCGGTCGACTATTTCTGCTGGGTGATAGCAACGCGCGCCTTGGGCGTGATACATCGGTGTGAGTGCCATTCACGGCCTGACGATCACGAACACTCGGTTTGCACTGAGTGCGAGTGATATAGCAACTTGGACGCATCCACGGAGTGGTCACGCTCACCTGCTCGACTATGTCATCGTACGTCAGCGTGATATGCGTGAAGTGCGCATGACATGTGTACTGTGTGGAGCTGAGTGTGACACTGATCACAAATTGGTGCGGACGAAACTCTACATTTATTTTCGAAAATCTATGTAATGCACTCCCAATATAAGTCGGCGTGAATTTAACATTCTCTCCCACGGTACTGCGGCAAAACGTAATGAGCTGGAGATGGCGATGGCTGCACCCCTGTGTGATGTAGAAGGCATAGCCACAGTGGGCGACCTGTGGCACCACATTCGCGACCAGATGACAGCTGCTGCCGAGGAGACCATCGGACGCGCAATCAGTAAGCGGCCTGATTGGTTTGATGGCAACAATGCGACGATGGGCGCATTGGTGTCGGAGAAGAATGCGGCAGTTGCTGCAGATGTGGCAGACAACAGTGACTTGGGGAAGAAAAGTCAGTCTCGCAAACCTCGACCGCGACTGACCCGAGAGCTCATACGCGTTATAAATGCATGGTGGACGGAGAAAGCAAAGCAGATGGAATGTTACGCCGAACGCCGCCAACACAAGGAATTCTTTGACTCCTTGTAGGTGGTGTATAGACCGCGATTGGAGCCGCTGAGGACGCTGATGGACAACAGTTCATGCGCTACCTCCACACAGACTGCAGAGCTGGCGGAAACACTTTGTCTCTTGAACAACCGTTCAGAGATCGATTGGCCTACATTGAACTACCGTAAGTAGAACGATGTGAGGACGAGTCTGGCGGACACGCCGACACTGGATGAGACGCAGAGAGCACTTGCTCAGCTGCGAAACGGTAAGTGTGCTAGGGCCGACGGGATCCCGCCTGAAGTATTGAAACACAGCGGACCCGCGTTGGTGACTGCGCTGCACCACCTGGTGCAAGGCCTATAGATTGAGGAGGTGCCTCCTGAGCTGAAGGATGCCCTTGTGGTACCATTGTACAAGGGCAAAGGGACCAAGCAATGTTGCACCAACTTGCTGAGTTGTGTAGGCAAGGTGATTGCCCGAATCCTGCTCAACCGCCTCGTCAGTCGGGTTGTGAAACGTAAAGTGGCTGAAGAGCAATGTGGATTCCGTTCGGGTCGCAGCACTTTAGATATGGTGTTTCCGGCTCGTCAGTTGCAGGAGAAGTGCAGAGAACGACACCAGCCATTGTACTCGCTTTTTGTTGATTTCACCAAGGCATTTGATACGGTGAACCGCGAGGCATTGTGGCTGGTGTTGGGTAAGTTTGGTTGCCCGTGTAAGTTTGAATGCCTGCACAGTGGTATGCGAGCGAGGGTGCAGCTGAGTGGAGAGACCTCGGATGACTTTGCAGTTGTATCTGGTGTGAAGCAAGACTGTGTCACAGCTCCTGCCCTTTTTACTATGTATCTTCACGCACTGACGTCTTGTGCTTTTGATGCCGCTTGTGCTTACGGTGTGCATGTGGAGCACCGTATGGTGGGTTGCTGAACATCCGTCGTTTCGGTGCGAGAACTGTAGTCTGTGTGACAACTATCCGTATGTTGCTATTTGCTGACGACTGTGCGTTGTTTGCACACAGCGCGGATGAGTTGCAGCATATGACTAGTGTTGTGGCTTCGACAGCGGCCAAATTCG